ATTTGTATAGAAACGGCTATAATTTCCCATACAAGTTAACCCTGCAACCTTCCTCTTGCTATCTCGAGACCTTGTCAGGCAGTCCATGTCACTAGCCATGGTCACAGTGGACAATTTCAATCCACCTCCCTGTAGAAAAGCAACAGCTACCCCCTCATATCTCTGAGATGAGCCAACCTGAACCAGAGACTTTTCATCTCCTGTCGGCTTTCCCGCAGTATTCAGTTTAAGTGATCTGAAACTGTGGTTGAGCAGTGTAGTGGCCAAGTCTGCAGATGACACAAAATTATTCAGGATAGTGAGAACCGAAGTGGATTGCAAAGAGTTCCAGGGAGATCCCAAATTAGGTGAAAGGGCAACAGTGCAGGTAAGGTGATTTACCGTGGAACAACCCCCCCCCCCCGCCACTTTAAGTTAATGGGATCTGAATTTGCTGAAAATGAGATAGAAAGAGATCTTTGGGATAGAGTTGACGGTTGAATGAAAGTGTCAACTCCAGCAGTAGTGCTGCAGCAGCCGTGAGAAAGACAAACTATGCTGGGGAACAGTTAAGATTCCAGTCCCACTCACAGGGGCCCTGAAACTCCTGTCGGTCTCTCTCACGAGCTACTGGACTCGATTCTAACTGTTCTACTCGAGACTTGAGGCAGCTGCCCTCTGAAACTGTATGGTGCTCAGGATTGTTAGGAAAGGAAATTAAAATAAAACACCTTCCCTTCTGAAGAGTCTCAGACTTTTCAGTTAGAAAAGCCATGAGTGGGGGGGGGGGATGATACAGGCTTATACAATTATGTGTGGAGTCGACAGATAAAACATTTTTCCCCCTGTCCCAAAATACTAGAACTCCATGGCATTCAATGAACCTGATGAGCACTAGATTCAGGATGGACAAAAAGAAACAACTTCAGTACACAGCATGTGATCCCCAATGTGGATTTCGCTGCCAGGGGACGCAGTGATGGCCACAGGCACAGACAGCTTTAAAAGGGGATTGGACAGATTCATGGAGATCTATCAGCGGCTACTAGTCATTGTGACTAAAAGGAACCTCCACATTCAGAGGCAGTCAACCTTTAAATATACATCAGGGGAAGGCCTCAGCCTCTATGCCCTGTTGTTGGACCTCCAGAGGAACTGGGTGGCCACTGAATGCTGGACCAGATGGACAACTAGCCTGATCCAGCAGGGCTCTTCTGATCTTATTACACTAGCTGAGGAGCAGTAGTTCAACACACAGAGTGATAGCAGACAGAACAGAAGCTCAGGGAATGGGGAAGTGCATGTTTTCAGCCAAAATTAATAGGCATTTGTAATTATTTGCAGACTTACTTAATCAGAAGCCCATCGCACTCAGATATGCAGACGATACTACTCTAATGGCAGAAAGTGAAGAGGACCTAAAGAGCCTCCTGCTCAGAGTAAAAGAGGAGAGCGCAAAACTGGGCTTGAAGCTCAACATCAAAAAAAACTAAGATCATGGCATCCGGCCCCATCACTCCTTGGCAAATAGAAGGGGAAGTCGTGGAAGTGGTGACAGACTTCACGTTCCTGGGATCCCAGATCACCGCAGACTGTGACAGCAGCCATCAAATTAAAAGACGCCTGCTCCTTGGGAGGAAAGCGATGGCGAACCTAAACAGCATGATAAAAAGTAGAGACATCACCCTGCCAACAAAAGTCCGCATGGTCAAAGCAATGGTATTCCCAGTAGTCATGTATGGCTGCGAGAGTTGGACTATAAGGAAGGCCAAGCACTGAAGAATAGATTCTTTTGAACTATGGTGCTGGAGAAGACTCTTGAGAGTCCCTTGGACTGCAAGAAGAACAAATCAGTCAATCCTCAAAGAAATCAACCCTGACTGTTCCCTGGAAGGCCAGATAATGAAACTGAAGCTAAAATACTTTGGCCACCAAATGAGAAGGGAGCACTCACTGGAAAAGACCCTGATGCTGGGAAAAACATGAAATTGAGCCAACTTCAGAGGACGGCGGAAGACAGGAGGGCCTGGCGGGAGCTGGTCCATGGGGTCGCGAAGAGTCGGACTCGACTGTGCGACTGAACAACAAAAATCGCACTCAGTGGGAGTAACCTCTGAGTATATGTGCACAGGATCAGGCTCAAAGAGGTAGCTATGTCTCACAGCAATCCCAAACAGGTTTACTCTGAATTAAATCTCCTGTTATTCAATGAGGCTTACTTCACTGCACCAGAAAAGCGTGCAAAGGGTTGAACGTTCACCTGTTATATTAAAACTGGTATGGACTCTTAGGGCCTCTTTAAAGAGGAGAAGATATAATGAACTTGATCAGCAGTAAGTTTGGGACAGCCAAAGAGAAGACCTGGATCACATACTGTATGACCAACACGCGGCATTACCAATGATAAGACTGACAGCCCCAATTAGATGGAAAGGAGGTATAAACAGAGTTATAAAATATGCAACAGCCACGGCTTTGGATGATTGTAAAAGGGGACAAGGTGGATCCCTGGAGGTGAAACGCTGTGGTCCATTTGCTCTGATGGCTAAAAGGATCCTCCTTGACCAGAATCGATGTAACTTCTGAATGCCAGGTACTAGGACAACTGCTGCCTTCAGCCTCTGCTAGTGGATGTTGGACTATAGAGATGATAGACTTGAGCCAGCAAGCTTCTGGGCTAGTAGTTGGTGGAGTGTACTGGCCAAATTAGGATCTGGGAAACCTGGGTTCAGATTGCCATTTGGCCACAGAACTCTGCTGGGTGACTTTGGGCCAGGCACACTCTCAACCTAGCCTACCTCACAGGGCCACTAGGAGGATAAAGTTCAGGAGAGGAAAGCACTATCAACCACTGTGGTATAAGTGAAGTAAATAATAGTCATATTTGCATTTTCACAGGAGGTTTTAAAAATATAATCCATTGATCCTGCTGCGTTCTTTGCACAGTGATGAATGCTCCTATGCTCCCTGAGGGCGGGAGGAGGCTGCAGCTGTCCCGAGTAAAGGAAAAAGCATTCTGCGTGTGCTCAGAGTTTGTTCTTTTTCCAGGACGTCACCCAAGCGCCACACAAGCCAAAATCCTACGCTAAGCCCTGGTGAAGTCCTGACAGAAGCCGAGGAATTAACATTGAGGAAAAATCCTCGAGGAGTTGCCGCACTACCAGGAAAGAATGTCTTGCCCGGTTTGCGGGTGGACAGACGGGGGGGGGTGCGCCCTGGGACCTCTTTCATCCAAGGCCCGGAGGGAGGGGGCACGGCGGACACGGGCGACGCTGGGGACAGAGAAGGCTGCGCGCCGTGCGGCCCAGGGGCGGTGTGGTCAGGCTGCGGGGACCAGGGCCCGGCGAGAGGCCGAGCCACGCGCTCCCCCTCGGCCTCTCCCGCCCCGCCTGGGCCCCACTCCGCGGCGGGGAGAAACTGCGAACGGAGCCAGCGAGAGGCGGGCGCCACGAGCCGGACTGGCCCCCGCCCCGGAGAACGCGCCCGGCC